TTTCACCCACCCTCCCACCCACCTCCTCTCTGGTAAGCATCAGCTTTTTCTCTGTACCTGAGTCTTCTGGTTTGTCTCTCTTTTTCTTTGCTTATCTGTTTCGTTCCTTAAATTCCACATTTGAATGAAATCATATGGTATTTGTCTTTCTCTGACTGACTTATTTTGCTGAGCATTGTACCCTTGAGATCCATCCATGTTGTTGCAAATAGCAAAGTTTCTTTTTTTATTTTTTATGGCTGAGTAATATTCTAGTGGGTGCCTGTGTATATCTTCATCCATTCATCTATCCATGGACACAGGCTGCTTCCATATCTTGGCTATTGTAAATAATACTGCAATAAACATAGGGGTGTGTGTATCTTTTCAAATTGGTGTTTTTGTTTCCTTTGAGGAAATACCCAGTAGTGGAATTACTGGATCCTATGGTAGTTCTATTTTGAATTTTTTGAGGAACCTCCATACTCTTTTCCATCGTGGTGCACAGTTTGCATTCCCACCAACAGTGCAGGAGGGCTTCTTTATTCTCCACACCCTTGCCAACAGTTGTTTCTTGTGTTTTTAATTTTAACCATTCTGACAGGTGTGAGGTGATATTGCATTGTAATTTGTAGTTGCATTTCTCTGATGATTAGTGATGTTGAGCATCTTTTCATGTGTCTGTTGGCCATCTGTATGTGGGTGAAGCTACTTTTTTATTTTAGAGAAAGAGAGAAGGGGCAGGAGGAGACAGAGGGGGAGAGAGAAGGGAGAGGGAGAGAGAGAGGGACAGGGGGAGGAGAGAGAGAGAAAGAGAAGGAGAGAGAGAGGGAGAGAGAGAGAAAGGGAGAGAGAGAGAATGAGAATGAATCAATTTTAAGTGGGCTCTGTGCTGAGCGTGGGCTAGATGCCATGACCCTGAAATCATGATCTGAACCAAAATCGAGAGTTGGATGCTTAACTGACTGAGCCACCCACTCATCCCAGGTGAAGCTATTTTAAATAGAAACAGTCCATATTGTTACTTGAACAGCTTGTAAATTCCAGTTCGGTGGCCCTTAAATTTAATGGTTGAAAATCTGTATTATTAATATTCATCTCTAATATCCTATTCTAATATTCAGCAACTATAAAGAAGCATATACTTAAAAATTTGATACTGGGTAAGATGAGAGAAAATGGATATTACCTTCACATTGTGACATGATTTGCATTTCAGAAGGGGTAAGTGCTATTATAAAAAAAGTCTATGCTTACCTCTTGGCAGACACTATAGTATATGCTTACTTAAACTATTAAATTCTTAGAACATCTCTGTAAATTGACTATGAGTTCTCTCTCTGAAGATGATGGAAATAAGCCTTAGGGAGATTAAATAATGTGACCTGGGGAACATAGCTACGTAAGTACCAAAACCAGGATTTGAAGCTAAATCTTGATTGAAAGATCCTATCTGTAATTTCCACATCTTTCAGCTTCATTCTATGGCTTGAGCTAAGAAGAGTGAACAAAATAACAAATCCATTGGTTTCAGTTCAAACTGTTTTCCAGAGCTTGCTTGCTGATAATTTGGCCCTGGTTAGGCTGCTACCTATATTTTAGTCTCCACACCACAATCACTCTGCTTCAGGCCCCACTGGCTTCCTTTCTGTTCCGTAAGCACCACATAATGGGGATCTTTGCATATATTGTTTCCTTCCACTCCTCTCTTTTCTCTATATGCCTGTCTCCTTCTTCTCTTCCAGGTCTTAGCTCAAATATCATTTGCTTGGGTCTCCTTGTGACTACTCTATACAAGGCAAGTGCCCTCCCCCATTTAAATTTTCTCATCACTGGTGGGTTTCCTTCATAGCATATCACCTGTCAGATGTCCATGTGTTCACTGCCTCCCTCTACAGAGTGTAAGCTCTTTGAGAGCAGGGACTTTCTCGCTCTTGGTTACTACTCTATGAACCAAACTTAGAATAGCATTTGGAGTATCACAGATTTTGAAAAACACAATTGAATTAAAGAATGGATGAGTGGCTTTGAGATTTATGTATTTGTTTCTCACTGGAACCTGTTTAAAATTTTTTGATGGGTGTATTTGAAAATTAATGTCTTTCATAACTGAGTGTTCTCAATCTTTAAATCTTGATCAGGATACATAATACCATAACTACAAATTGTTACAACTTTTTTCACTATTGCAGTAATGATTTCTGCTTTGGTTTTGATATGCTTACTGGTCTTGTTTAAATAATTAACCTGAAAAAGAATATTGTTTAGCTAATTATCTGAAATAAAGTCATACTGTTAGAGAATTAGCAGTTTTAGCTAGGTAAAGAAGCGCTGTGCTGTCCAGACTACCTGAAATAATGTAGGAATGTAAAAACGCTACATGAGCAGATCTAGGCCCAGAAACTCAGGAAAGGGCTTCTTCCATAATATCAGGTGAATTCTTACTATGTGCTTTCTACTGTCCCTCATTATAATGCATATTCTTAGAGGAGCAATAGATTACATATAGCACTTAATCAAAACAAATCTATTTCAGAAAGAATCAGTGTTAATCAAGGTTCTCAGTTTTTATCTCAAATCCATAAGAAACAAAACAGTAACTTTCATGGGTTTCTTAACATAGAAATGACTGCACACTCTTTCATGGAAGGCAGAGACACTATAAAGAGATACTAGGGGGTTGCAGGCTAGTGTTCGAAGAGAAAGTAAAAGAAATATCAGTTTCAGGGTGAAATCAATCATCAAAACTTTTTCACACTGTATTTTGGTTGATAGTTGGCAAATGAAACTATTGCCTATGAACCTCATACTCAGAAATCACTAATCAAAACATTTTTAAGAACTTTTAACTTGTATAAATCTCATAAGGGAATTCCTTATTTCTTAGAAATGTTTCTTGAAAACAGGTTGATTGACAAAAATCTACACATTTAATCAATCTATACCTTGCTTTTTTATCTTCTTGGAAGCTATATTCTTTTCTAAGAGACCAAAGAGGGGAAAAAACCCCAAACTATTAGACTGTTTTTATATAAGGAGATAAAGGGAAATGGACATGTTTCATAGGTGCAAACAATATGCTCAGTGAATATATAAAGCATTCTATAGAGTTCAAAAGTGGTGTTTTCAGGGACAACTGGATGGATGGCTCAGCTGGTTAAGCATCTGTCTCTTGATTTTGGCTCAGGTCATGATCTCACAGTTTGTGAGATCGAGCCCCGCATTGGGCTCTGTACTGAACAGTGAGGAGCCTACTGGGGATTTTCTCTGCCCTTCCTCCGCTCATGCACATACACTCTCTTTTCCCCCTACCCTTCTCAAAATAAATAAATATTTAGGGGTGCCTGGGTGGCACAGTGAGTTAAGCATCTGACTTCACCTCCGGTCATGATCTCACCATTTGTGAATTTGAGCCCGTATTGGGCTCTGTGCTGACAGCTCAGAGCCTGGAGTCTGCTTCAGATTCTGGGTCTCCCTCTCTGCCCTCCCCCATCTCTCTCTCTGTCTCTCTCTCAAATAAATAAACATTAAAAAATAAACACTATGCACGTATAGGAGGACTAGGAGGAACTTAACAGAGGACCAATCGGGAGAAGAAGGGGGGAAATGGTGGGGGAAAGGGAGAGAGGCAAACCATGAGAGACTCTTGAATGCTGACAAAAACTGAGGACTGATGGATGTGGGGGGGAGGGGGGGAGGGGCAGGGAGGAGGGCACTTTGGGGATGAGCACTGAGTGTTATGTGGAAAATAATTTGACAATAAACTATTTGTAAAAAAAAATAAAATAAAATAAAAAACAAAAGTAAAAAAAAAAAA